GGTGGGCTGAGGCGGGCTGATCTCTGTGAGTTGGAGGCCAGCCTGCTCTAGAGAGATAGTTCTAGGACAGTCAGGGCTACAAAGAGAAAAGCATCATGTGTTCATCTCATGCAGACATTCAATATAAACAGAAGTGTCAGTCTTGGCTTCGAGGCTGTGTTCTTTAGGATAGAAATGGAGACAGAGTGGTCGAGTACGGCAGACTGAGACTGGCAAGGGCACAGCCAGGTAAGTAATGCAAAGTAAGAAACATCATTTTATTCTGGTTGCAATTCAAGGTTGCTGAAGGGCTCTAAAATGGTTTATCTCTGAGCAAGAAAATCAACGAATGTTGAGTGGTTTTCTGACTGTTGGGTCTGAAGTGGAGTGTGAGCACAAAGAATGGAAGTCCGCATACAGGTCAGGGTGTGAGCTAAGAGGACAACGGGCAAACAGGCTGGAGCCAAGCACAGGTGTATGTTCTACACAGTCTTAGGGTGACGAGACTGGGCGAGTTCCGGCTGGGATGGCTGCAGACATCATCAAACACAGAAGAGTTAATGAAAGATGTGGCATCTGAGTTGAGTGTCTAAGGAAAGACTAAAGATTTACACACGTAGGCACACAAAGAACATTCTAAGTAGTAGGAGTGATTTAAGTGGAAAATTATTTGTAACTGAAAACAATAAGCAGTACATTCTGGCAAAAGCACAGGGTATAAAAGACGTATATTGATTATCTATTGATAAGTAGTAAACTATGCCAGAACACAGTGATTTAAAACAGTGAACCGCTATCAGTTGTTTCTATGGCTCAAGAGTCCTGGCTGACTTACCAGAGTCCTGTGACGCAGGTTGCCCCTGGGGACAGTTACCTCAAGGATCAACTGATCAGAAGCTGCCTCTACCCTTATTCTTGACTTCAGGCAGGCTCCTGGGATTCCCTGACTTTGCCAGAGATTGAAGCTTTTATCACAGGTCTTCCCATAGGACAATTCAAGAAATGGTAGCTTGATTCCCTTGAGGGAAATGCAGAAGAGAGAAGGGGGGAGGGTGAGGAGAAAACAAAATAGATACAAGCCTCAGACTTTTTTTAAAATTATTTTATGTGGGTATTTTTCGTGTGTGTGTGTGTGTGTGTGTGTGTGCACGCACCCCACATGCATGCATGGTACCCATGGATGTTGGAAGAATGAGTCAGATCCCCTGAATGGTGGGTGGGGTTGTGGATGGTTGTGAGCCACCAGGAGGGTACTGAGAATCAAACCTCAGCATGAACAAGTGTTCTTAAGCACTGAGCCATCTTTCCAGCTCCCAAAAAAGTCAATGCCTTTTTGTAACTGAGTTTCAGAAGTGAGGAACCCGAAGAGACAGCTCAGCTGTCAAGGAAGATCATGTGCCATTCTTTCAGAACACTAGAGTTCCTCGGCACCCTTGTTAGTAGCTCACAATTGGCACTAACCCTAGCTGCAATGGATCCCATCCTTCTGGCTTCTGTGAGCACACACACACACACACACAGAGAGAGACAGAGAGAGAATAAAATAAGACATTTTTGTTTTTTCAAACAAGAAGTGATGTATGTTATTTTTGCCACATCACTAGGCCCAATCTAGAGAATTTTCAAAAGGTAGGAGAGCAGAAAGTAAGATTCACTGGGTCCTCAGAATGAGATTTGCTGAAAATGGAAGGTAGGGAGAAACAAACCCACTTCAGGCTGAAGCACTGAATAAACACAATTTTGAGGGTCCCTCTTAAGTCCTGCTTTTTAACAGGTTGGGAAGGTTAGCTAATTACAGGGAGGAAAAAAAACCACTTTATTTTATAAGACAACAATGGTCAAATAATTCTACAGGAGGTAGCTATCCACCGTCATTACAAAACTTCCAACAACCATGCTGGATGGTGGTGGTGCACACCTTTAATCAGGAGGCAGAGGCAGGCTCCCTAAGTTTGTGGCCAGCTGGTCTACAGAATTAGTTCCAGGATAGCTGGTGGGGGTTGGTGGTGGTGGAGTTCAGCAACCTGTGCTGACAACGCATTCAATAAAAATCCAGCACTATTGTGGAGCTGCCGTTCCTTTATAGAAGAGGCTACCAGATCGCTTTGGGTCTCAGCAAGAAATACATTTTGCATCACAAAACCAGGTGTGTTAGCAAATGCAGCAATCACAGCTCCTGCTGTAATTCCAACTCCAGGTGTTAAGGAAAGGCGATAAGGAACTTGGAACCTGAGTTCCAGCCCAGCCCAGACATACTTTCCAAATTCTGGTTCAAAAACACCCCGCCAATACATTTGACATCACAACTCAAAATTCATCCTACTTAGTCAAAATACAAGTTTCACACAAAATGCTATAGGTGGGATGCTGAGACCTCCCCTATCCATCCTGCTCATTAAAGAGTGTAAGCTGGTAGGTGCCGCTGAATCCATCACTCTCAACCACTTGGTCCCTTTCTGCAATTTGAAAAATGCAGAACATCAGCTTTTTGACATTTGGTGATACAGTTGTATCTCCTACCTTCTGGACAAAGAAGACCAGTAAGACCCAACTCAGTTGAGGTCTCAGCGGAAAAATACTTGCGTTAGACTTTTTTATTTTAAGATTTATTTTTAGGCATATTGGTGTTTGGCCTACATGTGTATCTGTGCACGGCATGTGTGCTGTGGCCACCACCACAGGAGCCAGAAGAGGACTTTGGATCCCCTGGAACTGGAGTTACAGATGGCATCCTTTTTTGTTTATGTAAGTTTTGTTTTGTTTTGTTTGTGTAAGTCATTACACAAACCTGGCCGCTTTGGAAGAAGTGCCATTACTAATTAAAGTAGGCGTATCTGGGATAGGGGTCACAGTGTCACTGGGTTAGGGCTGGCTTATCACAGTTGTAAGCTGCCATGTGAGTACTGAGAACTGAACCAGGGTCCTCTGGAAGAGCAGCAACTACTCTTTAACGCTGTGCCATCTCTCCAGGCCCAGGAAAGTATTTTTGATTGGCTGTTAGGAAGAATCAAACTAGTGATAGAAAATGCACATATTTAGTCTGTAATCCTAACACTTGGGAGGCAGAGGCAGGCGGATCTGGGTCTCCAGCCTGGTTTACAAAGCCAGTCCAGGATAACCAAGGCTACACAGAGAAACCCTGTCTCGAAAAACCAAAAAAAGAAAGAAAAGAAAAATGAAAAAATAAAACCACATTTTTTATTTGTTTTGGTCATGTATTATTCAGGTTCTGACCACCCAGATATTTGGATCAAGAGTACAAGCCTCCAACCTCTCTCTCTCCCTCTTGCATGTAATATGAACCACCAAGAAGTCCAAAGGACAATAGCTCCAGTTGTATTGCAAATTGCAGTCATAACCAACAACCTACAGAGCTTCCTGAACACCTCTAGCCGGGCAAGAGATTTACCTGGAATGAAAAAGTGCTTTAAGACCTTTGATTTTTATCAGTTGAAACCTGATAGGAAGGAATTTCCCAGGACTCCTGAGTCCACCACCAAGATTTTTCAGACAAGAGTCGATCCGCTGTTTCTGCGGGAGTGTAATTGGAAGGGAGGCAATCCAGACTTTTCAGCCCCGATTATATGTCAGATTCCTAAGCTCTCTTCCGAGGAGAGGTCGGTCTCCACGGGGAGACCGTCGCCACGAGAATGCAAACAAATTTGAACCATTTGTACAAGACTGCACAGGTTTACAAAGCCCAACGGCACGCGGTTCAGAAACCAGTGCTGAGAAAAGAGGTCTGAGGAGGGACGCTTTAGGGCAGGCCGAGAAAGGGCTTTCCAGGCTCCTCACGCCCAAGTCTAGAGAGGCGGCGGCGCTTGAGAGGGGAAAGGGGGACGTGCAGCATGAATGTACACTATTGTTTAAGTGGGACTGGTCGGGCCAGAGCATGTTTAGGGGGAGGAACACACGCTGTCAAGGGGAAACAGGGTCCTGCCCTGTCAATCTGCAACGCTGGCACGGGCCGGAGGCACCCCAAGCCTTACGTGCCACGGAAACAGGCAGCGTTACAGGTTTCCTCAGGAAAACGCTGAGGGCAAGAACGGTGATCCCACCCAGCCCTTCCCTCTCCGCCCAGCCCAATCTCTCCCACGTCCCCCCAAGGAAGACAGCACCGGGTCAAACTCGTTTGTTTATTCCTTCACTCAACCAGCCTTTCTCTCTGCTCGGGGGTCTTTGTTCAACCGAAAGGGAAGGGCCCTCGCCTCTCCAGCAGCACCGAATATTCCCGTGTCAGGGGCCCCCTGGGCTGCCCGATCCGCAGGACCACGGCCCCAACGAGGGCTCCGGGCCGCGGAGGCAGCATCTGGCCCGCATTCCAGCGCGGGCGCGCTCGGAGGCAGCCCGGCGCGGGGGCTCAGCTCGGGGCCGGGTGGCGGCCGGAGGGAGAGGGCCCGCCCAGGGGGACCGGGGCGCTCCCGGGCGGCCTGGGAAGGAACGGGCGCCCGACCCTTACACACACACACACCCCGACCCCCCGCAAGGTGTCCGGCTCCCTGGCCCAACGCGCCCCCTCCCCGGTACGCCGCCCAGCACGTGCCGCCCAAAGTCTGCCCCGAGCCGAGCCGGCTCCGGGAGAGCGAAAGCAGCCCTAGGTGGAAGGATCCAGAACCCACCCCGGCCATCCGGGCAGCGTGGCAGCGCCGGCGCGGGTCCTGCGGGGGGAACCATCCTGCGCGTAAATGCTAACGCACGGGCTGGAAAGGGTTTGGGTGTGTGTGCTTGGGGGGGGGGGGCGCACAGCACACACGCCGGATGTGTCCCCGAGGCGCGGCGTCGGGGACGGCGACGGGGGGGCCCCGAAGGCGAGCCGGCTCCTTAAGGCAGCCGCGGGGGGCGGCCACCCACGGGGCCCCGGGGGGCGGCGGGGCCCGGCCGGGGTGCGGGGCGGCGGGCGGGAGGCGGAGCCCAGGTGCTGTTGATACACAAAGGCGAGGGCCCGCGCCCCGCCCACTGACGCGGCGCCCCGCCGCTATAACTTGCGCTCGCGAGGCGAGCTCCACACCGCGCCACGCCGCCGCCCGCTCCGCCAGCTGCTCTCCCCCGCCGGACGATCGCCACCGCCGCTCTCCGCTCCAAAGGGGAAAATATATATATATAACCTAATTAAAAAAAAAACAAAAAACCCAGCCTCTCCTGCCTGTTGGATAGCGGGATTTTTTTAAATTCTTATTACTATTTTATAAGAGGATCTGTCAGTGCTATTTCTGTCTCGTCTCTCGATCTTGCTGTGCCCGGGACAGCCCGCGGGGAGACGCTGCCGTGAGGTGGGCCAGCCCGGAGGGAGAGCACCGAGGTGAGGCGGGGGAGGGGCGGCAGCGGGGCTGCGGGGGAGTGCGGGGCGCCCGGCCGCAGAGCCTCCGCCGAGGGGGAGGGGGAAGCCGCGCGCGGGCCGCCCGGCTGCCGCAGGCCTGGGGGCTCGGGTGGCTTGGGACGCGAGCGTGGGGTGCCGGGCGCGGGGGTGAGGGTGGGGGAGAGGGGAGGCGAGCCGCGAGGGCTGGCCGATCCATCGCCCCTCGGTATTGCATCAGTTCCTCCCGGGGCAGAGG